TTTAATTAAGCCATTAAAATTTGATAAATGCTACAAGTATATTAATTCATCTTTATTAGAAATTATGTTTTTTTTTCCTCATCTTATTTAATAAGTCGCTCTTACATTTATAATTTTTTTTTAATAAATTTAACCAATAGTAAAAAGTGTATTTGAAAATTCGTTTGCATTAATGCAAACAGAAATTTACACATTTCTATGCATTAAAATAAGAAACAAAAATTCTTGTCTTTTCCGTTTAACATGGTTTTGTTGATTTTCAATGATAAACCAAACATGTACAATATGTGTGTTAGATAACACATATTAGACAAAGTGTTTCTAGTACTCCTATTAAAATTAAAAAAATTTAACAAAATAAATTTAGCAACACATTCCAACACATTTTTTAAGCATATTTTTTTTATTGATCGAAATTCTAAAATTTTGTGAGTACCGGTTCTTATTTAATTATTCTCATGATTTATTAGTTTTCAATAAATTTTCAATAATAGAAAAGTATATATTCCAACAAGTGTATTAGAAAAATGTTGTCCCATACTGACTTACATTGGAGATAGGATAAATGATTTATAATCCCACTAAAAAATCTCAAAGAGATTAATAGTTACCTCTTCTCTTATATGAAGTAGTGCCTTACCCTAATTTAAAACTTCAATTATTAAAAAAAAAAAATTAAAAAAAAAATTAAAAAAAAAGTGTTGTCCGTACTCATCTTATAACAATTTATATTCTAAGCCCATGTCAAGAGAGGCCCAACCCAATAATAACAAAAGGATAGCATACATGCAGGACCAAGCGCCACACAGAATCCCTTTTCAGAAGGCAAGCAAGCACTATAGTTGTAAGGTCCCCATGTCCATCATTTTATGTAATTCAGTATAAATTACACCAGTTCTAAATCCTTGTACATGAGTTAACATAGCTATTCCACGCTTTCATTACAGGACTTCTATTCTAGTTTTGCCATGTTTGAACGATGAGATAGAGATAAGGAAGAGGAGTGATAAACTTTATTAGAGTGAGTATATAATAGCTTTTGAGGTGTAGTGTATTGGTATGTTTATATATGTGCCTTCTTATAAGCTTATTTGATTTTCAAAACAAGATTCTGGTTTTCTGCAAAGGCTCTAAAAAGATGTTGTGTTGTTGCAAAACAAATTAATGGCTGATTGTTTTTAATTACGACCTTACTGACACATAGTCACATACTAATTATTTTCTGATATATAGCATCAAATCAACTAACAATATACGGTTGTTTTCATGCAATCAAAAACTTAGAAGACGAAGTTAAAATACAATAATAACTAGTAAAACCAGTTAAACCGTAATTGTTTACTTTTGGCAATTCAATAAGTTAGACCACTAGTTAAATTCAAGACATAAGCATCACATGATTTTACTTATTGGAAGTTATTTTAGAGATTCAAAAAACCTCATGTTGTCGACCTGTAGCTTGACAATGCCTATTTCCATACACAAAGCACCTTAGAATTTTGGTTAATTTCTTACTTTCTTTTCATATTAAAGAATATGTGCAGAAAAATAGAAGCCTAAACCTAATATACTTGAAATCTTATCACCCCATTGTCAAAAATAACAATCATTTGACTATTAATTGCATCCGCCCAAGAGAAAAAAGCATCTGATAATTAATATGTACAAAGATTTTATGTCTATATCAGAAAACCTACCTGTGCATCTTAAAACAATACATAGAAGACTGATCATCAGGTTTATAGAAATATAAAAGTGATAAATCAGGTATCCTAAAATTAACATCCATAAAACTAAAAAACTATGATTTCTTGCCAATTGTACTTACACGTACCCGGTTCAATTAGATCTTGCATAGATGTCCAAACCTCCAATTCTCCCCACAACAGTAGCAGAAGTTGCATCCACACCTGGAAAAGACAAAATTGGAGTGCACAGTCACTTTTCATTTTTTTTTTTTATCAATTTGGACCAAATTTAGAAAAGTTTTTTAAATTTTTCAATAAAGAAACTCTCAAAAAAAATTCTAAACTTGTATTTAAACATGTTCATAATCATGTAACAAAAATTACATTAATTTGAGTCAAAAGGCATTAATAAAATGATCAATGATACATAACACAACCTGCAAGTAATATGTTCACATCCTTCACGTCTCTGCACAAACATATTGCACTGAGGACATTTCTGCCAATTTTCCCCTTCTGCCAGCTTGAAAACTTGTTATCCAACTCTTTTTCATCCATATTCGTCTTCATTTGGAAATCCTGACAACTCATGCTTCCATGCCAAGGGACCTTACACTGTGCACAAAATAGCCTATGACAAGAGGGGCACTCAGCACTGGTCACAACTTCTCCTCCATCATTCACCAACAACACAGAACAATCCTTATAGGGGCAATAAGTCTTCTCCAACCCAACAAGCAAAGACTCGCACCTCGCAGTTTCCCATCTAACAACAACTTCAGCGGGCAAAATGGCGTGGAAAAACTGAGGCTCCAATTCCACATGACAGTTAGGGTATGGACAATTCACCTTGAGAATGTTCTGGTGTATTTGAGTAGCCACATGTTTGGATATGCAGAGAGTACAAAAAGGGTGGTTACACTTGCCATGTAACATATCAGATACCGGTTTGTAATCAAAACATATACCACAGACGAATGGTGAGCATAGAGCAGTCTTCTCTTCATCATGATCATCTTCAAGGGAGGATTTTTTCTTCAACAAATTTTTAGCAGCTGATAAGCACTGAGGCTTCACATCTGAGTTTTACCAAGATCAGAGGTTAAAAACCTAGCCTAGAAGAGAAAAGACGATTTTTTTAGATACACCATGGTATCCTTAATCAGAAGTTAAGAACTAAAACTCTAGCATCACCAATAATAGATCCATTTTTTAAGTCTCTCAATGTCACTTAAGATTTGAAAAATTTTCCTATTTTTGCTTCAATGAGATATTCTTATATGAATTCTTAGAATAAAAACATATTCTTATTTTTTAAACCACTAGATTGCAATGGGATGACTCTCACATGTAGAATCGGTTCTTAGCAAAAAAAAAAAAAAAAAAAA